AGAGAGAGAGAGAGAGAGAGGGGGGGAGACGGGGCAGATAGAAGTAGAGAGAGAAAGAAAATAAAACAAAAGAGAAAGAGAGAGTGGGTGGAGTGAATAACGCCAAGAAGTGAAGAGGTGGAGACGTAAAAGTGAATGGGGAAAAGTTGAGAACAGACATTGCCCTTGGCCTAAAGGCTTGGGACAAAATTGAATTTCATTATTTTTCAATCTGTACCTCGTTCTATAAACCCCGAGGCAAGTATCTGTTATCTCTTATGGCTGGCTTCTTTACTCAAGCCAAATTCTAAGACGCTGTCTCGCAACAGCTTTGACAGAGCTTCGGGCAGGACGAAATGCAGTCCAGAGCAGGACGTCCCTAACCTATAGCCTGCGGGCCAGATTCCCCCCTTGCTGCAATATTTTATCCGGTTGCGTGCAACTTGAATTATTCGTAAAAATACATTATGAGCCTTTGCTTTATGTGAATATGATATATTTTACCTGTTAGCTTAAGGGAGGGTTTGTGTATTACAGTTTTGTTATTTTCAAGAACAATATTACTGCGATTACCAAAAGAAAAGTAATAATTGATAGGCTTTTCATTTCCTAATTCGTTTCAAATTAAAAGGCTGCATTAGTCCCCCTAGAGGAAAATAATCACTATTCCTTCAGGCTATGGCAAAGGTCAGGTGCACCAGAATTCATTGTTTGTGGATGCGAAACACTATGACATCTCTAAAAATGCGACAGTACAGGCTGGTTGTCACTGCTACCAGGGTGAGCTATTATGAGATACAACCCATAATTAAGGCCGAAAACAGGCCATTACGACATGGAGAAACTAACAACACATCACTTCGACAGGAGAAGGTGTTAATTTTCATCACAAAGACGGGGCATAACCGAGGTGTGTAGTTGGCGGATGCTCTGGTGTGGTTTTCTCCTGGGTTTTTTTTTCCTATAAACATATTATTGTTTTTAGATCTTCTCCTTTTTGTGCTTATTACTCTCTTGTAATACTTCTAACCTTCAGCACCTATACAAACTAATTATTTATTGTGTTGCATGTGCCGCAAAACTCCTACTGAAACAAACAAGCACCGAGTGAAGTTCCACTTGCACAAACGCTTAAGATTAATCCAGTCATTATGTGTGACATGTTGGCATCAGGAGATCGTCAATTTTGGGCACGTGGAGTTATTGATACCATCTTCAAGATGGGTTTTTTTTTTTGCTTTCGATGAAAATATATCTGCATGTATCTACCACGAAATAAAGTCGAGAAGTTTCGGATTGGAGGAGGTAGAGGTCTCCCGGTTTCAGAGGTAAAAATGGCCGCCAAAGTTTGGTGAATTCCATAGCTTGAGAATCCTTGGATACTGAAATCTACTGTTTTTTCTAACCTTTAATCAACGTTTTTCAATAACATCTACACAGAAATGTGTTTTAAATTGACACAACACATGTTGAGCCAAACAAAATGGTAAATTGCCAAACCGGTGGACAAATGCTGGCTTCTTCCATTCCATTATTATGACGAGCACCTTTTTTCACCACGCTGCCTCACATATAATACCCCAACAAAGAAGCGACCAGACAGCTCAGCACGTCCTTCAGACCTTCAGAAACATCATGACGTGAAGGAAGACGTTTGGCCTGCCCTGCGTCTTCTCAATTGAACGGGCCTTCGCCTGCGACAGCAGACAGCAAAGTGTGTATTTGAAGATGGCCTCCATATCGTGTAAAAGTAAATGTATACAGAAGGAAAAAAAAAGCTTCCGCAGCAACTGAACTGTAAAGCTTCATGACATGCCGTTGCAATATCAAAGTTGAGAGATCTCCTGCCGCCATATTACTAACGGTTGAGTTGAAATTACACTCTGTGCGGATTGACTTCGCCAAATAGTGTGGCGTGACGCATGTTGAGGTAAAAGTTAAGGTCATTCATTATTAATGTTGCCCTCGGTATGTCTAACAGATGGTATGTATCTTGCCTGTATCGGGTTAAAAAATTATAGACGTTTAACTATTAAAACATTTTAAAGAGAACTCTTTCTAACCGACCTTTGAAACTTTGGATTTGATATAAAGACACGTTTTTATGTGAATAATTCAGAAATGATAAAAACAACACAGTACCTTTACCAAATGCGCCCCCACCTCACTATCACCATCCACAAATTTTAATACACCACTGCTGCTGCTACTACTACTACTACTACTACTACTACTACTACTACTACTACTACTACTACTAATACTACTACGACTACTACGACTACTACGAAAATTAATAATATAATATAATAGTACTGATTATGATTAGGATGATTATGATGGTGGTAATGATGCAATGATGAGAAGAAGAACAATTCAAAAAATCCCTCTCCATTCCCCGTCTCTTTCAACCTTATATCACCTCAAACTAGGGGGATGTTGGAAATCAAAATATGTTTTTACTCTTTCTTAGACCTTCAACGCAATTTCTACACATCCCTCGTCTCAGCCTATAGCCCCAGGTCCCAGACAGACAGGGCTATTGTCGGACTCACTACAACATGCAATCATCTAAACGACCATCTCTGGCATCGAAGAAGGCCTTTCGAGCGATGTCATTAATCTGGTGCTCTGACGAGGACACAGAGATAAGAACTAAACATATTACAGTGTAAAACTGTTCACAATTGTGTGAAACATAAAGGATGCACGTGAGGGTATTCCGCAATTTATATTTCTGTCCTTATATTTCCTATCGACTGGCAGTTTACTCGTAATACTCAATCAATAGGGTCCGTTTTGCGGGATCATAGACGTAAGAAAAAAACAACAACCCAAAAACCCTCAATCGTAAACAAAAACCATAAAAACCATCTGTCATTTCTGGGAATGCTTCCTGGTTAGTTCATAAGACCATTACTTGTTCTTTCTTGGTTACGAAATGCAGAGTCCCTCATCTGCACTGAAGCCTGATCGACACTCGATTTAATTCATGTAATTTGAACAATTCTTCTGTTCTTGGAAGAAAAGTATCACATTTCTCTTTCTCTTTTCCCCCTTTTTGGTGTCTACTTACGATTCGTCAGATATAAACACCCATATGACATTATTTACTGTAATTTTACGTTTACTATTTCAGCAAAATGTACTCCAACTTTTTACAACTTTTAGTCTTTTGCTATATCCATCCTTGTTGACATTGAGAGGTAAAGAAAGCAATCCCAAGGGAAAACACATTTTTAAAATGTCCAAAGTTAAGTCATGCCATAAGAAAAGTTCCCTTCCGTCGTAAAGCCGGAAAGAAATTTACATTTCGAAAGGAAAAAAATGTTATTTGGCTGGTTTGGAACATGAAGATGAAATATGAAAGAAATTGATCCAAAAACTGTATGTATTAATGCTGGAGCTTACTAGCGCCTTGTGCTAATTTGGCCAGAGAGAGAGAGAGAGAGAGAGAGAGAGAGAGAGAGAGAGAGAGAGAGAGAGAGAGAGAGAGAGAGAGAGAGAGAGAGAGAGAGAGAGAGATGAAGGAAGCTGAGATTATTTTCTCTTACACCTATCTCATAATGATACTAATAAGAGCGAAGCGAGCGTTGTCTGACGTGTGAGTAAGCTGGCCGCATGTCACTCAGAGGGGGAAGCCGTTCTCGTGATCTGTCTTATCTTCACATTCAGTTTGGCTTACGTTCTATATTGTCATCACTTTGACACTAGATTCCATGAGCAGTTATACACACGACATTAAAGTCAGATTGAGTCTTCATACAGCGATGGCAGCACCTCCCCCCCCCCCCCCCACACACACACATACATACATACACATAGACACATACGTTTGCAAAGACATACAGACACACACACACACACATACACAAACACACACACACACACACACACAACACTCAACACACAAGCGCTTATAAAAATAGATAGATAGATAGATAGATAGATAGATAGATAGATAGATAGATAGATAGATAGATAGATAGATAGATAGATAGATAAATAGATAGATAGATAGATAGATAGATGGATATATAGATAGATGGATAAATAGATAGATTGATAGATAGATAGAGAAAGAGGAAAAGGAGAGAGAGATATATATATATATAGAGAGAGAGAGAGATAGAGAGAGAGAGAGAGAGAGCGAGAGAGTGAGAGAGAGAGAGAGAGAGAGAGAGAGAGAGAGAGAGAGAGAGAGAGAAGAGAGAGAGAAATACACTGTCATCAGATTAAATTTTCAACTGAACTTGGATCTTATTTATTTCTCTTTCGATCTGATGCTCAAGCTTGTTAGGAATTCACTCTGTTTTTCTAAAACCGTACCAAAAAAAAATGCAAATTTTTTACACTATATACAGCAAGGAAAATGATGACAGGGAAACAACAGCAAGGAAACAGGAGTAGAATGGGTGCCACCGCTCGTCACAATCACGACGTTATTCTGTTTGCTAATATCGATCTCAGATGTGAACTAAGAATTAGAGACGCTTATTCAAAATGCACCACATTGCCTTTCTCATTTCACATATTTTTTTTCGGATTTAAAACAGACATTCAGTACACGAATTGGCAACTCTGAGAACGTTATAATCAACTGGAAAATAACACGTGAATGATCTTATGACACGTCTAACTGTCATCTTAGCAGTTGACACGAAATGGACGTCTTTGCAGAATGTCCCTCATGACAGATAAGAAGATTTTGCCATTTTTTTTGCTGTCACAGTTTTGTGAAACTCGAATTACATGAAACAAGAAAATGGAAGCAAAGTAGGCCGAGAGAGTTTTCACCGATTGTTCCCTGAACACTGCCTTCTTCGTTGAAATCCTACCACATTAATAGATGTTTACAAGTGCAAAATCAAACCATAATATATTCCATCTTATGTGTTCTTAAACCAGAATTGCACCATAAATTTAAAGGTCACAATGTTCATAATGTTATGAAAGATGTTTCCTTGTTTAAAGAGAACAGAATTGGCTAAGTTTAGATTTCTATCCAGTCATTGATGATCGTCCGGTGAAAAAGTAACTTTAGTTCTATTATCAACAAAAGAAACATTGACCACTGTCCAACCCTTGTCTTATCCCGGAACTCCGCCTCCCTGTTCTCAAAATGCGACAGGTTGAAGATTTCGGGGGAGGGTGGCGGTCCGAGGGGTCAACGCCTGGACACTGATTATTGACGGGAAGAGTGTCAACACTGCCCTTATCTGTGCGGCCATGATTAGGAACACGGCCGTTGGCGCTGGCCGTTGGACAAGGAATAAATATTGTCATTCCTGATGCCATGTCCGCTATTTGACGTGATGTCTGGGAAGGCATAACCTCTCGGGCGTCCAAACACTGAATTTCTCCAGGCTCGATTTTGCTTTTCTTTCCTATCTATATTACAAGCAAAATAACACGATCATCTAGGCTCAGATGCACGTGCATGATATTTATTTCGGAGAATCGAATATGACTTTTACCCCTTCCTTGTTCTTTATTGTAAATCACTGGGTCATACATAGATCTCCTACTTGCACACAATCATTTCCCTATCTAGTAGTGTATGTATCAAAATACAGTGTGTGTCTCCACCCTTGACTGCAGAGCAAAGAATAGGATACTGCAGTAAAGGAGTTGCAGTTAGGACTTCCTCTATCGATTCATCATCTGCCACCTCAAAGTGAAGGTCTACGGGGGGTTTTTCCGCAAACTTCAAAACCTTTGCCTTCTTTTAACATTCCAAGTGTCTTTGGAGCCTCAAAAATCCAACATCGACCTAGCTTTCTCTCAGACCGACCAATTTGCAATCTATTCATTTTCCATTTTCCTTCCTGGAAAATTGCCAATCCGCTGCTATCGCCAGCATTTTGCATTGCTTATGAGTATGGGATGTGTGTGTAAGAGACAACGACAGTTTATCAGCTCGGCATCTCCCAGCCTTGACATAAACTAGAAGCCAAACGGCGCAGAAATGTCGCTATTTTGAATTCTGCATCGATTGGTGTGTGAGAAATAAGGCATGTAGATTGGCAAAACATGAGGAGAAGTGGTCAGTCATTAAACTTTTCCACTTCGATCTAGTTACTTTTGTTGCTTTTAGTGGTAGGTATATGTACAAGGCACCGGATGATGATGATGACATGTACTATGATAACCACAGGAGGTAGAGTTTTAAAGAAAAATAATAAATTGCATTTAATACTACTCCTATCCCTCTCTATATTCCTCTCTTTCTATCTATCTATCTATCATATAGATAGATGGATGTGTGTGTGTGTGTGTGCATGCATGTGTGTATTTACATCCACCCCCAGCCCCCCTTCATTTATTAATTTCCTAGTTTCTGTGTTACTTTGTACATGTACATGTATAACATTAAAAAAACAAGGAACTGCACATGCACACGAATAAACACACACATGTAGGCAATCTAAGACAACCTTGACGCAAGCACATACGTACGCACACTAACACGAACAGACGAATTCCATCCTTTCTGTTCTGTCTTGGCATGCTCTCTCTCTCTCTCTCTCTCTCTCTCTCTCTCACACACACACACACACACACACACACACACACACACACACACACACACACGCACATACACGCACATACGCACACACACGCACATACGCACACATACACACACAAATACAGTCAAATGTACCAGGCAGTCTATCGATGAAAATACATGTGTGCTTAGAACTCATGATATGTTCTGGGCTTTTGTTTTCTAACTTAGTAAAAATCGTTAAATGTCATACTTGCAAGTGTAATAAGTAAACGTGAAAACAATAAACCCAGAAAACAATTCACTTTTTAAAAAAAAAGTAAATTCCAAATATTATCAGCCTGTAGGAGCAACATTTATAGCACCTCGTCAAAACAATGATAAATACTCAATAAGCTCGGCATCAACAACCATTTGAATTCTGCATTTCATTGTTTCATGGTGCGTATTTATATGGTTTAATCAGATCTACTATTCTTGTAGACCGTTGGGGCCTAAACTTCACAAGGCAAACTTCCAGTCTTTCCAAAAAGTAAAGTATTCAGCCATTTCGCATATTGTTTCAAACAGCACTTTAATCGTTTACCTAACACTTATGCCTGAAGGAAGCGAAAAGGGTAACGTAAAAAAATAATAATGCTTTGCATATAATTCATTTTCATATAAGAAACCCCCATTCCTACCCACGTGAAAGGGCATAGAAATTGTAATCTCAACTGTAATTATAAAGATGTTAAGCCTGCATCTACATTATTTCGACATACTATTGTGGAGGAGGCCTGCTTAGATCCTACCTGCTCGTAAGTGCCAGCCCAACTGAGAGGGATAAAAACGACCCAGCAGGCAGACTGAAATACCGGTACTTAAAAAATTCCCGGAAATCGAACGCACGTCCTTTGTATGCAGCTGGCTTTTACTTGTCTGTTACCCCAAAAAAGTCAGTGTGCATAGCTATCGGTTAATTAAATACACAGTTGCATATTCAAACCTTGTCAACTCTAGCCGAAATCATTTTAGTAAGTAATAATTATGTTCAAGGTTAGCGAATAGCCATAAACGTATAGAAATAAAGTTGAAAAAAATGAGAATAACAACGAGAACGAACTGAGATGATTAATAATGATAAACTGGAAGTCATGGAAGCGATAAGAAAACTGGGAATAGGGTTTGGTCATCAAGGGTACAGCACATTCATCAGAATTTTAGTCAAGACGTGAATTTGCAAATAACATGAGGAAGTGTTTATATTAAATTGATATTCCGTTTAGCAGCTGGGCTATCTCGCTGAGAGCTTGCAACTGCATTCATCTTAATTAAACGGTGTATGGCAGCTGCAAAAGTATTTGCTTCATAATGATGTCTCTCTTTTCCTCACTTTCATGTGCCTGCACACTCAAACACAAACATACAAACGCTCGCATATGCATACATACATGTGT